CCGGCCCCGCCGCCGCCGCAGCCACCCCCACGCGCGGGGGTGGCGCGGGCGGCGGCGCCGTCGCCACCCCCGAGCCCTCCCTGCTGCGCTCGCTGCGCCGCCGCTCGCTGCGCGCGCGCAGGGCCAAGTCGCTGCTGCTGCCCTCGCAGACGCAGGAGAAGCGCAAGTCGGGTGAGTGAACCTTGTGGTACACCGGATTATTACTTTCAAAGCCCTCGTGCAGGGCAATCAAACGGTTTAAAGGTAGAGATACCTGTTGTCAACGTGCCGTATTAATAGCGCGCCGAGAAAGAGTGTTTGTTTACTTTCTCTAGCGTTATTTACACAGGAGTGAACCATATGTGTATTACATTATTATTGGGGATATTAATTCCGAACGTGTGCTACCAAACTCGTGTGTGACCGTGTTTCAAACTTCCCATGCCCGAGTTTTCTCTTACGATCAACGTAAATACGATCGCCAACATCAGAATCTTAAGCGGTGCAAATAAAGATCAGAAACGTGGACGTATGTTTACTGTGCCTTCCCAGGTGAGTCGAGCGATAAGTCGTGTTCCACGGCGCTATCTTTCACGTGTCAGTGCGACGAGGTAGTGTCGTTTGCAAGAGTTGCATTGCTCGTTGCTTCATGTCATCCACGTGTCATCCAAGTTAATCGGTGAGTGACCGCCGATGACCACGAGATGACGTATGACCTGCTCGTGGGTGAACGGGTGATGTCATCAGGCACAGCTATTCGTACCGTTGTTTTAATTACGTTGGCTGACTGATTCCAAAAGGATGTGGTGGTGACGTTTGTTTGGTGTCCTTTTTCGCCCCCGTTTGACTGCCATTTCGCTGCGATAACGAAAAAGTGGTATTCTGTAAAGGAAGTAACGATACCTCAATAACAATTCTGAAATGTCATCATTAAACGTCGTCATGTTTTGTTCACATGCGAATGATTTGTCAATGTTGCGTTGAATGACACATGTCTACTGTAGTCGGGAAGTCGCCAGAAATGATAAAGTGAAAAAAGTGACGATAACAGAAGAGTTCCCTGGATATGTGTCATAAGATTCCGCTTAGTTTCAGACAAGTTCTTCAAAATCTCTCATACTGTTTTCAAAGTAAGAGAAAAGCATACTCTTGCCAACGATGGAATAACAACTTCGCAACTACACTGTCAGAAATGCCATTAAATCTCATGTAGATTGATGTATTAATGTACATGAAAAAATGTACTTGCGAATTAAAAACAGCTTAATGTGTTTGTACATTAAATTTAATGCTTAAATTAAAATCAGTGTAGATTTAATGGAGAGGCTTTCATGTGTACCCTGCCTCAACATTCATACCACACATTCATAATCACCTGTCCATCAAGATCATTCAGTCATTCTTTCCTGACATGGCCACAAAGCTTTGCTTGTTGTATCCTAATGTACACGTGTAAATTCAATTTCATGTGCGCTCATGATAATTGCTTTAATGTACATTTCATTAACGTGATGCAGAAATGCCTGACAGTGTAGTTTGGCTTTAATCTGCCCAGCAGGGTACGTGAATCCATGAGCTCGACCACTTTCCACTGTTGACATTCGCCGCCTCTTCCTGCGGCCACACGCCGCGTCTTCTCCCACCACAATCGAGGCGCTCGAGAAGATTTTCGATACCAAGCGGCGCCAACACCAGCAGCAACTGCGTTCGGCACAACGGCGGGAGTAATTTGATTAGATTGAGCGTAAACAAATGAAAACGACAAACATCTTGGAAACGACAAAATCTCTTAAAATGACATCCCAAAACGATGCTGTACGCGGCAAAGAAGTTGAAATGGTCAGAATTTACGCTTTTTAATTCAAATACCAATACGTACAATATGGATCGAAGGGATGAGAGAGTGTCAGTCAAGCGTGTGATATTATAAGTGCAAGAACTGAAAATGTCACTGCCGAAATGAACGAACTAACCCAAGGGAATCCGTATATCTTATTAATTAGAACAGAATTGAATGACACCTGGCAAAACACGTAGTCGAAGCACACGGATGCTTGTCTGCATGTAGTTTGAAGATAAATGATTGGTGTTGCTAAAGCCTACACTTTTTTGAGGTGTCAACAGCGCCCTTCAATTAAATAGTACCAACATCTCAAGTTCTATCTACTGACATCTATGCTTGTGACAAACGTTTTTCTGCAAATTTATTGAGTTTCAGCCGATGACGATCCAATACGTGACAATCAAAACTCATGAATATCTAATAATTAATTTGCTTATAACGTAATGATGTGCTAGTTATGTTCAGTGACATTGTATTAACGTCTTGGTTGGTAAAGATGACATACACGGTGTGAATAATAACGTAATTGAGTTTGGACTAGTTTTGATAAGAAGGGAAGGAAACCAACCAGCAAGTTTGCATAAGTGGACCTACGTAAATTTAAAAAAATGTAGTTCCGCACAATTTGTTTGTGGTTTTCCAAACCGCACGGTTACCCCCTTTGAAGACTTACGTAGTACAAACAATACAACAAAACTCTTACTTACGCGTGTTTACGCTGACCGTCCATCGTATTATGCGGACGAAAAAAGCCGTAGTCAACAACTAGTTCCAACTATCGATCCCCTCCCCGCCCCCATCAACTTCGCCTTGTTGACTCTCGGCATCTCAAGCCCCTCCGCGAAGAATCGCTGCGCTGAGCCGCTGCGGGGAAGGATTTCCAATACGACGACGCCGAGGCGAGACGGCGACGGCGGCGTCGCGACGCGATACGGCGCCAAGGGGTGAGCGCGCGGCCCGCGGGAGCTGCCTCTCCTCCTCGCCAGGGTTCGTTTGCTTTGCGCGATAGCGCGTCTCATATCCGGTGCCTCCCTCCGCCGCCGCCGCCGCCGCCTCTGCCGAGGCACAGTGAGCGCGAAAGACTGCGGCGAGAGAAATGTCAAAAAGTTTCGATCGGTTTTTCTCGAAGTTTTGAAGAGCTTCGTATGAAGTACCGTAAGATGGGGTGAATAGAAACAAAAGTTAAAGTAAACAAAAACTAAATATAAAAAAATATTTGAGTTATTTAATTATGTGTATTTCCAATTTCTGATACTTAGTTCAAAATAAACTATTTATCGTGATATGCTCTATGTACAGTGGTAATTTGTTTTAGAGTGACAGCTTCTCAGCTGTCGGTTTTTTAACAGAGTGATTTTCAATTGATCTGTTGAAAACTTCGTACCTAGACAAGTTACATTGAATTGAGATTTTGTTGCAGATACCTGTAAGTTACGAATCTGTGTGTTGGCACTTCAAATACTATTGGAAATTAGATTTTACTTGATAGTTCTCTAGTTGACGAAATTTTGAGAATGGAACAAGAGCTCCTTACAAAGTACGCCATGAAATTGAAGAGCTTCGCGCAGCAATAAGATAAGCTACAGCTAACCTCCCGCTACACGTCCATGTTAATATCTCAATATTAGTGAAAGTGTGGCATATCCTGTCGCTAAATAACGTTTTTTCTGTATCTTGGCCAAAACATGTCGCACCTCCAATAGAAAAGTGACACAAGTGCGAAGTCGTCATTTTTCAGCTAAAAGCTGATAAGAGGTTACCAAGAGGTACTGCTACTATTCTGAAGTTGATTTTGAATGAGTTTAATTATTGCCCGCTCGAAGGTGAATAGTTGGTACAATCTATAACGAGTATTACAGAACTACGAAACTTAAAATTGCAATTTCTGAGAAATGAGAAATTTGCACTTGTGTCACTTTTCTATTGGAGGTGCGATGTATTTTCGTCAAAATCTCGAGATCGATTACACCCTAGCATTTGGTGTCTCTAAACTACGTATACGAGTAAGTAAGAGAGGTGAAGCATTTTTTTATTAGCAGGTAACCTTTTCAACAACGACAAAGACATGAAAATACTGAATGATCGATGTAGTTTAGCGAAATATTGCATTCATTTTCTACACCTCCAAAATTATACGCGTTTTCAATCAAAAGATCCTGCCCGTGAATTTTGTTCCTGTTGCAACGCCCGCCATTTGACCTATATCGGAGCAGTGTGCGCCGCGGAGGAAAGGTCCACGTGGCAGCCTCGCCGCCGCCCCCGCCGCCGCCCCCGCAGCCTCGCCGTCCCCGCCACCAGGTCGACAGCGATCGAACAGCGCCGCGTGTCCCCAGCAGGGAGAGGCCGATGTGATTTGGGGCACTAGTGCATATCAAGATGTATTAATGAAGTACACTTTTTAACAATGTGTGAACTAGGTGTAACTGCAGTACAAATTATTTTTGGTAGAAGTAACGAAAATATTCAGAAAACTTGTCAGTGCAGATGATGCATTCCATACACGACCGAAGTGCTGACAATTTAAGTGCAGAACATAATGGAAGAAGTTGTGCGAGGTTTTTCCATTTATAATGCCAATTTTCTGACACGGTATTTGTGGGACTGTAGCTACTACGGACCGATTACTTATGTTTCAGTTTGGAGCAGTGAAACTCTTTTGCGATATTAAGGCACGAGTTTTCTCTAATAACTAACTTCTAATATGATTTGCAAAGGTCTTGTAAATGGTTGAAACTGCAAAAGATTTTTTGTTCTATTTTCATGTCAATTTTGCAATGTTAAAATAATTTGACCAAAAGGTATTCTAAATGAATTGCTTGTTCTAGAAACATTTTTTCAACACAATTTCAGGAATCCACCATATGGATAAGTCGTAATTAGCATATGGATAATTAGGTATTCTTAATGGTGCAAAAATATAATATAATTTTTAGAAATGTCTGCCTCTAATTCAGTTTATCTTCATGTATAGTTTTATTGTTTGTGAAGTCTCCCGCACCGGCGAACACGTCAACGACCACTAGCGCGGACGAACTTTGTGGTTTGCTTTAGAAACCTCATCCGCGAAGGAGCTCGTGATCTGTCGTCTACAAACTGGAATAAACACGAGACTAGAAATCGAGTATTCTGTTGCCTTACAATTCATTTTGTTTTGTACTATTAGGAATGAAATACTGCCTATAGAATATTTCCCCCGAGTGTATGTCATTCATTTACAGTAAACTACAAAGCACAAAGACTTTTATAGTAGATTGCACAAGTAAATAAAATATAATTAATTGGCACATGAAAGCTGTTAAAAACCCAACAATAACAAAATGAATTTAAACGTATTATTCGTGTCTATTAATGTAGCAGTTATTCTTCTGAAACTCCTTAAAAGTGTTTGTGAACGCGCGAGGAAGTATATTGTCGCCAATTAATCATCTCCGATTGTCCTCCTGTCCTTAACATCCAGAACCGAGATTTAATTTCCCGAGAACGCCTTCAACTACACATTTTCGACCGTCCTCATAAAAATACCGGCTAAATGAAGTAGAAATTCCGCCGCCGGGAACTCATAAAACACCGGTTAAGAAGTCTGAGGACTGTGGAGAGCAGAAGTTGGTAAATTGAAAGGAAAAGACAGAGAAAAAAACGTTGGCAGGTGGAGGAGAGAATTTCTCCTTCCTCTCACGTCACGTGATTCTTTCCGCGCTGCTTCCTCCACGCCGAGGCGCTGGCAACGCACGCCCCTCGCCCGATGCCATTTGGCACGGCAGCCCAACACGCCGGCGAAGCCGATCTTTTAAGCACGGGACTCACCGGGATTTCGATGGAGCGGTGTGTGGCAGGAA